AATAAGGAAAAGCAGGAAGGAATAAAGTTTTTATCAGTCAAGACACAGACGGGAATTAAAATAACCCAAAGCATGAAAATTTCAGTGTAAAACACCGCAGCTGTACTTACATGAAGAAAACGAATGCAAAAGTTGAAACTGTGCTATGAGTCTGTCAAAAGAGAAGAAAGCCACAAGCCACTTGGGCTTTTTTCCTAAACACATCCACTAATGAAACCTTCATTAGGCAGTGCAAAGTTTGCAACATTGCTTGCTTCACTTCAGGGTGTATGTAAGTAAATAGCCACTTGCACATCCCCAAAACCCATACAACAAATGCACAGTATCCATAATGCTGAGGTAAGAGAACATAAATAGTTGACGATCTATTTTCTGGCAGTACAGCAGCAGTTTGAAAGGAAATGCACTCCTGAAGGGCCCTAACTTGACCACAAGAACAAAAGCCAGGTTGTTCTCAGACCCTGCATTCTCTCAGGTTGTGTTCCACTTAGCAGGTGCTCTGTGCAGATTATTCTTCCAGCCAGGTTTTCCAGGAAAAGAGAAAAAAAAATTTTTGGTTTGACAGTCAGTTAAGCATACTATTTCCTTTTATAATACCCTTGTTCAGGAGCCATACGTACATACAAAATCAAGGATTAAGCAGCCCGTTCTCTGCTCAGTTCTGTGACATGCTTCCTAGGGAAGTTGTCACACTCCACAACTACAGAGAACTATCCTCAGCTGCTGTTAAAAGCTGTTAGCATAGGATTAAGAAATACTCTGGTTAGAAATTCCCTAGAAGATACTTAAAACAACCTTTTGAATAAGCCACTAATATCCAAGGCATCAGCCAACTTTTTTTAAGACAAAGGCCAACAACAGATAGGATCAGTAATAGCTTACTAGTCGTTGCATTAAAATACTGATGATCATGCTATATTGCCTTCTGCAGAGCTTGTGGTGGTAGATCAACACCTTTGAAAGTAAGCTCTTACAGATATGATGGCCAGCTTCTGTATACACTAAACATCTACATATTTAAAGCTCCCTTTGCTTTCTACAGTCGTTTCCATAAAGCATTTCAGTGATGTATCTACCACATAAGATTGTTCCCCACATACCTCAAATTCTAGCTGTAACACAAGCTTAGCAGAACAACACTCAAAGTTGTGTTTATTCGGTCTATCTTTGTTGGTACGTATTTGACTTAACCTGTTTTAAGTTTTGGCACTTCCTATTTACCTTCATACTGTGTGATTAGCCCTGCAGTTGAAATATTACAGTTACCATGTATACTTAGCAGATCATCTTGTTAACCAAAGTTCTGTAATCTTACGGACACTTCTGTATAATTTATTCTTTCAATGCCACAATCTCTTCTTGAGTTTTACAGAAAGCAATTTTCTCTTCCAGGATTCTTCTGGTCTGAGAGTTCTCCAGTAACTTTACAAGAGGATTTTCATAACGCCTCTCAAGACGGATGCAGCAGTATCAGATCACTGTGTTAAAGCTCTTCTAAATAGCTCTGCAAACGCTGCAAAAAAACTGTAGAAGCGGGATTCTGAGGGGATGGTTCCTGCTGTTGGTTTCCCATACACAGTCTCTTCAATAAACTGGCCTGGTTTGCAGCTGCTGGTCATAAATTTCACTACACAGCTTATTTAGCAGAGGAGAAACAAGCATCTGCAAGGAAGTACAACGATTGTACTCAGCACATTCCTATCCAACAAGTGATGGCTAGGAAACAAACTGGGGCTTTGTTTATACATTGCCTGCCCAGTACATGGCCCACGTCCCCAATTTCTCTGCACCCCACCAGGGGTCACTAACACCACATTACAGACGTTCCTCAGCAGGGTAGGCAACTTTATTCTATAATTTAAAGTATTTACACACAGCACAGCCACTCTTTTACACAAACATATACTTACTGGTATATTCATGAACCACATCTAAAAGGTTTTGCGAATACTGACACATTGTTGGGTTTCCAAGCATGGGGGAAAAAAAAAATATTTGTAGCCTTAGAAAAGACAGCCATTTGGAGAGCCTGCAAAAAAAAAGTATTCCCTCTAAGCTTAAGTTCTCCCTAAAGACCATTCACTAGCTTCAAAATATCCACATGTTTGGCATTAACTAAAGCTCTCTTGGCGATGGCGGACTTCAAGAATGAACATGTGCAAATAACATTTTCTCAAGAAATCCCACAGCAGGAACAAGAAAATGGAAAACTCTTTAGGGGAATTACTACACTCCTGAAATATTATTTGAGAGGCTCACAACTCAATGCTAGTATACATATATGTATATACATACAGGATCCAGTGACAAAGAAAATTAACTAGTATATGGTGCCTGCCCAATAAGTAACTGCAAGCAACACCAGGTTCATCTATCAGCTTTCAGCCGTGAGAACTTTAAATTCAGAGCATTGATGAGGAAGTTCAGCCACACAAAATAGGGAGAAGCCTGTCACCACCAGGTGAAACCACAGGAGCCACATTATCAGACAGATCATAAATCCACAAGTCTAACTCATCTGAAACAGCACCATCAGACAGCACAGACAGGACAAGCTGCCAATAGTCTAGTCTAAAATAAATTTTTACCTTCAGCCTTAAGTCAGTTCTGACTACTTTTATCTCAAGTACTCCCAGAATAACACCTGTATGCAGTTACACATCCATACAGGGAATTAATTAGTTTGAGAAGACTACTGCTGTCCTTACCAGTCAACAGTCCCTAACCTAGCCAGAAGAATTTTCATTAAAAACTAGGAGATTTCATTCCATGAATAAACTCCATCTCCCTCCACCAAGGCAAACACTAGCTCAAGTCTGCTTAATAAAGGCAAATGCTATTTTAGTCTTATTCAGATAGCACTTCTAACATATCAGTCCAGTCTCAGATGAACAGTTTTAAGAGTGAAATAAGCCCATCTTGGAGCTGGGTTTACTGTAGCATGTATAAAAGCTTCCACTTCTTGCAGCAGACTAAGGCACTAAGTAAAACCAACGCTCAGGCCACCAAATCATTCTTCTCGTAGCTCCTCAGTAAAAGTAGTCAGAGCCTGCAGCCTCACTCTGCTCCTCCTTCTGAATGTATAAGATAAAATTAGCACCTAAGCAAGGGACAGAATTCAGGCTTGTGATTTCTCCAGTCCATCTTGGAAGAATGACTTAACCCTCCACGTTAGAGGCAGCTGCAATAGTTACCTTACATGCTTACACAACTAGACCATTAATGTCTTTTAAAATTATCTTTCCACTGGTTCTATAAAGCTACATAAGTCTCACTCCAACACATTCCCTTTTCTTCTTTTGAAACTCATGCCATGAAACTAGGAAATGTCAGAATTACAAAGAAGGTTCTGTAATTCATGTTATCCAAGATGGTCATCTGAGCTAAGGGGAAGCACTTCACTCTCTCCCTCCAAAGAAGGGATGGCCATTTGTTTAAGGGACAGAATACAACTCCATTCTTAATAATTTTAACTAGTGAACCCAGCAAATCACCAATGTCATTACAGGACAAGAGACATGCTGTCTCTAGAGTAAGAGAAATGATAGAAAAAAACCACAAATTAATCCAATTTAAAAAATTGGTTAAACCAAGTAGTACTTAGAGGGAACACTGAGTATTGTATGCACGTTTATGTAGGTATAATACATAGTTACTCAGATACACACATAAATATTTAATATATAAAAAATAAAGTGCTTTCTATCAGGTCCCAATGCAGGGACATTATAAAACATTTCACCAACTGCAGAACAAATAAGTACAAAGAATACTACATCAAACATACACAAAAACAGTTAACACAATATGTACAATCTGGTAGGTGTCCCAAGACAAAACACCCCTTCATATACATGGTATATACATATATACTCATCTTTACTCAATATATTATGGCAATATATATTTCAAAACTTTGTTATAGACAACAAAACCTACAAAAACACAACAAGGATCAAGCACACAAGTCCACGACCAACAAAGAATTTGCTACCCTTGCCCACACCACCACCTCCATTACTGGGAAAGATATGCCAGTGCTCTTTTCTGGGGTGCAGTGCCTCCACATCCTGCAAGGCACTGTGAGCAGCAGCCGTGAAGTTAGTGTCACCAGTGGTGAGCAGGTCAAATACACATGAGTAAAAATAGATGTCCTTCACCAGCATCTTCTCATGGCATTTGGTGGTGGCAGTTTCCAGTGTGTACACTGACCAGGGATGAGCAGCACCACCCTGAGGGAGCAACTGCCCCATCACAGGCAATGGTAAGTGGCCACTATCATCAATACGTTCAGTTGAAGGGCAACCGTTCACACACAGCTGCAGATCCTGGCTTTCCTCGTAGGCCATGACCAACTCTTGAGGCATGCGAATGGCCAATGTTAAGTAGTGCCCAAGCTGGCGTATATACACCGTGGTCCCAATGTACTTGGCATGCATTTCGACGTATTTGCCACTGACTTTCTCCACAATTCGCAAGCTCTTGGTGTTCCCATCACCTCCACTTGTTGTACCATCAACAAAAGCTGCAGGCAAGTCATCAGTCACTGCTTGATATACTTTCTGATCTGTACAGTCTTGGTATGATTTAAAGATAATAGTTATCTGGGGGAGGAGGGGAGGGAGGAGGGGGAAAAAAAAAGTAAAGTTAGTGGAAAAAAATCATCGTTTCAATCCCTTTTCCATTTTGCAGCTGAACATATCTGGGACTGCCCACTAGGTCAGAGCTCGATAGCTGTCCCCAATTCATGCCTAAAGGAAAACAGTCTGTACACATGCTTAAAGCAATATTTTACCAGATGGCAATTGTTAAATTTGTTCTTAGGTTGGCCTGGAAGCAAGACTATTAGCATGTGGCAACTAGGTCAGGAAAGAAAAAGGCTTTATATTTAATTAAGCATCACAACTCCCTCCTGCCTGATGGTTTCTTAACACTTTGGCATGCATCCTGCAGTCACAGAGAAGTGTAAGTGCCAAGTAATTCCCACAATGCTAACTGCTATGGCAAAACCTGAATAAGAATGTATGGAATCACGGAAAGGTACAAGAGAACTCAGCTTCCCTCACTCACAATATTCTCATCACTCCTTTTACAGTGACTGTATGACCCTTGTCGGGGTACTGTACACTTGTTGGATGTGTTGCCAGGATTAGCTGTGTGAGACTACTTTAAAAGCACTGATGTATTTAGTGCTTTATCAGCTATCAACACAACAGGCAGTGAGATGAGAGATGCATGACCAGAAGAACAACTAGTCAAATAACTGCTTAGGGCTTCTGGATCCTAGGAACTGGGAGATTTCACACTTCCAATCCACTGTTGCTAGAAAATGCGCCCATGGAGAAACAAAGCAAGACTGAAAGATACTTAAAGACAATGCCTTTGAAGAATGACTTCCAACACAGAAACCAGGAGCACAAAGCAATTACTTGTCCTTTCAAGATTAAGACCGGCCTTTTAAACCTTTACACTTATTTGAATAAGCCACAACAGAAAGAGCAGGTCCTCCAGTCTTACTTGAAGAGAGTAATTAGGCTATTTGGCAGACCAAGTTTGGAACATCTAGTGGCTTTTCCTAAAATAAAAAGTATAATGAGGAATAACATATAAATATCAGAAACAGATATGCTATTTCCTTTGCAGTTTCAGAGGGGAGTGACTTCTTGAAAAGGTCAAAGGGAATTTTGCACCAGGAATAGCTATTTTAATAATTATTTTCATCATTGACTGATTACATCAAAATTACTTACAGTCTATAATTTAAGCAGTCTGCTACAAGACTCAGAGTACTCCAAAACATATTAGAAGGCATTTTCAATCTAACATTACACTTTTTCCTTAAAATCTACTCTACAGCAACCTCACATTTTAATTTCAGTTAATCAGCACATTTCTGCACAACAGCTTTTGTTTCCTGCCCTTCTGCTTTGAAGTAAGAGCTAGAGGTTAAATAAACAGCTGATTACAGACAATCCGAATAAAACCTCTACCCTCATTAGCCTCACTTCTCCATACAAGTTGTGTAAGACAAAAGTCTTCCCTTCTCCCTCCTCCCATTACAACTCCTCCTCCTTTGGAGTATGCAGACATACCCTAAACAGTATTAAATCAGTTTTCAATGTTTGGTTTGTCCCAGTTGGTTGACATTCTGTCAGTCTTTCTGTCCGTCTCACACACACAGACAGTACTTGCTATTTTGATTTCATATGTTCCCACTGGTGCTGTCTGACTGGAATTTTCCAGTGGTTTTCTTTTCATTAATCAGTTACACAGCTAGCTTGAGACCATCTGTAGTCAAGCAATTTAGTAAACTTGATGTCTGTGGGCCACAGCTAAGCTTGAATGTCTATGCCCAAAATCCAGAAAATGCACAAGTACCCTTGTTGCTGTAAAGACCACTCTATGCTTAGTGAAGTAAGCTCAGCAACCCAGAAAAGAAAAACCTGAGATCTGTCAAGCAATTAGTATTTCTGCATACAATCCAGAGCCTCATGCAGTAAATCAGGTCTTTTATTTAATATAACACAGTTTCGATGAAACAGACTTGTATCTTAGCCTGCTCAGACAAAGAAGAATTCCTGCTTCCTAAAGCGAATCATTTGCTCTGCAAGGAAAGAATGATTTACATTTCAACAGAAGTAAAGCTCTAAATCTGCGCAGCACCTGAACAAGTCTGGAGTCAAAAAGAGTTAATGGTTTTAATGAGACACAGAACTGGCTACTTGATAAAGCAGTTAAGCACGGCAACTGGCAAAATTTATCAGGAAGCAGCCACCAAACTATTCTCTCCAAGGCTCCCTCCTCTACAAGAATGAAATGCACACAATTTCAGAGACAGAGCGGGAGAACAGAAGCCATCACCCTAACGCAAGATCAGCAATAACATTGCACACTGAATGAGGGCTGAACAACTATTAAGTGAATGAAGGCCTCCACATAGCTTGCAAGGATGGTCCAAACAGAGAATCAACAGAGACCATTAAGACTCTCCAAGGACATACTCATATTTAAACACTGCGGCTCAAGGCATTAGGTTTGGATACTGTGGTTTAGGTCGTGTGACATCCATCTAATCCATAGGCCAAATCAGTAAAACCAGAGTTCTGTAAGGTCCTTCCCTTCTCACCCACTCCTACCTCAATCTCATGCCCTGGTACTGAGGGATACTCAAGGCCTTGTTGCAAGGGGAGATGAAGCAAATTTCACTGAAAAGCTTTCTCTGTTTAAGTTCTCAAGGTAACAGAAAGCATTACATAGTGAAAAAGGTTATTTCAAACAAATTTAACATGTGCCCATGTACCTATAGTACTTTCTACACGCTGGCTGGGTTGTAAGAAAGCCCCCACAAAGCTGCTCATGTGTCGCTGTTTACGGACTAGAAACTAGCTGCCCTTTCTAAACCTAGGAAAGAAAAATCCAAATGCCAGAATCTTCAGATGAAGAAAGTTCTTTTGAAAGTATCAGTATCTGAGCCTTGTTCTCTGGGCATATACAGAGCTCTTAAACTACTGCAGTGAGGAGCCCTAAAAGATGAAAATAAGGTTGTTCCAGAGACTTATCTGAAGATACAATAAACAATCAGCTATACTAAGAGTACTAAAAGCAAACAAAAAACCCCACACATTCAATTTGCACTTGAAATACTTCATTTTGGACTTCATTGTCCCACTCCTACTGATGCCAGTAACATCATCCTCACTGAGTGTACTGATCACAAAGATTACTTAAATCCCACTGCAGATGCAAAGCCTTTCAAGGATGGTGTTACTGAGATGCCAAAGTGAAGTTTCTGGACCACCTTCATGTATCTCTAGAAGGTGCCTGGCTTGTGCGCCTTAAAAGCAACACTTTCAACTGTGAGTTCTCGTACTGGTCCTCACTAGTAGATCTGACTGTATGTGGCTATTTTACTATGCATTTAATAGAATCATAGAATCACTTAGGTTGGAAAAGACCCTTAAAATCATTGAGTCCAACTGTTAACCTAACACTACCAAGTCCACCACTAAACCATGTCACTAAGTGCCACATCTACATGTCCAACCACTTCCCAGGGCAGCCTGTTCCAATGCCTGACAACCCTTCCGGTGAAGAAGTTTTTCCTAATATCCAATCTAAACCTCCCCTGGCACAACTTGAGGCCATTTCCTCTCGTCCTATCACTTGTTACTTGGGAAAGGAGACCGACACCTACCTCCCTACAACCTCCTTTCAGGTAGTTGTAGAGAGCGACGAGGTCTCCCCTCAGCCTCCTTTTCTCCAGGCTAAACAACCCCAGCTCCCTCAGCCGCTCCTCGAAAGACTTGTTCTCTAGATCCTTCACCAGCTTTGTTGCCCTTCTCTGGACACGCTCCAGCACCTCAATGTCTTTCTTGTAGTGAGGGGCCCAAAACTGTACACAGTATTCATGGTGCGGCCTCACCAGTGCCAAGTACAGGGGGACGATCACTTCCCTAGTCCTGCTGGCCACACTATTTCTGATACAAGCCAGGATGCCATTGGCCTTCTT